GAAGGGGCTTGCTTCTCGGAGCTGCAGCCAGCTCAGTGAGGCCCTTTTTCTTACTACCCATTTCGCAGTTTCCAGAAGAGGAGGGTGCCGTCTCGGTAGCTCACTAACTCAAACGCCTGCTCCTCTCGTTCCCGCGCCCGCCCACCTGCTTGGGGGCCCTGCTGTCCCGGTCCCTCCGCCTTGCTCTCTCTGCCCTCACCTGGCGTCACAGTGAGGAGCCAGGGCGGCCGGGTGAGGAGGGAGAGTTGGGGTGCTCTGGCATCTGCACCTTCAAGCGTGGGGCACTTGGGGGAGGGGGGAGGACTGGGGTCTCGGTGGCCCTGGGCTATAAGCTCCTGCTCGGCACCTGGGCTCCCAGCCACCGTACCGTCTGTGCCCCTCAGGGCAGCCACACATCTGCCGCCCAGCTTGGCCAGGGCAAGTGGGCTGGCGGACAGGCTGGCGGGAGGAAGATCGGGCTCCCCAGCCCTGCGAGCCCTGTTTGCCGACAGCTGCTGTGTGTCTGACGCTCACAAAGTGCCCCAGGGGGTGGGGGCTGGGCGGGGCCCACGTGGGGTTCTGGGGGCGTGGGGGGGGGTCCCAGCTCGGCTCCTTTCAGCTGTGCTCAAAGCTCTCCTGTCACAGGGGATCCAGGGGGCAGTGAGGGGGCAGGGCCGCTGCAGCTAGGGTCCAGGTGTGGCCCGAGGCCTGGGCCTGGTCGACAGGGAGGGGAGCCGCACCTGAGGTGGGGGTGTCAGTCTGCCCTCTCAGGCATCCTGGCTTCCGAAGTGGTTTTCTCAGCTAGCCCGGCGCTGGGGCCAGGCCTCCATGGTGCACTAGTCGGGCTGAGCCGCTTCGGAGCTGGGCCCTGTGTCTCACTTGGGCTTCGGACCCCAGCCTGCGGGCAGCCGGACAGCCGGGCAGTGGGCTGGGGGCTGGCTGGTGGCACCTTCCCTCAGCGTTCAGGCCTCTTTCCCAGGAAAGTCCTAAACCCAGGCCACAGTCCTGGAACAAGTGCTGCTGGGGGGCCCAGGGAAGCAGAGCTGGGGGCCACTCTGGGGGGGTGGACCCCCTTCAGTGGCCACACTGGAGGGGACCAGGGCGCCTGGGAGGGACAGGCCTCTTTCGCTCCCGAGTCTGGGCTCTTGGGCTGGTGATTTAGGTTCAGTCACACCCCATTTCGTATCCGTCCCACAGTGCACCTAGGGGCCAGGAGTTCTCTACAGACCCTGGTGCGGGAGGTGCTGGGTCATAGAAACTAAGATCGGGGTTCCCAGCCCCCTTGCTGCCCAGGGCTCCCCACACCCCTCCTGAGCCGCTAACTGCAGCACTCTGTGGGGGAGACCCTTGCCAAGAGGAAAGGAGACGTCCACCCAGCTCCCGGCTGCACCAGCCGCCTGAAGCTCTGGCCCGGCTCCAGCCCGGGGGTGCTGGCTCCCAGGCTGCCCTGCACAGCTCCGTCTGCCACTGGGCTACTGGGCGGCGGTAGCCAGGTCTGCCCACGGCTCTGCGGGCTGGGCGTGGCGCCATCGGCCACTCTGCAGAGGTGGAGGGGACAATTAGGAGGAGGGTGCTCTGTTCTGGGGTTTGTGCAGGCAGCTCAGGGGCAGTGAGGAGGAAGAGGGGGCTGTGGTGCCCACAGTCCCCTCCCCGCACCACCATGGTGACCAGGTCACTGTCCACCATGAAGTGCCCACCCAGCGGGGCCTGCAGGACCTTTGGCTGCTTCTGAGTAAGCAGTGTGGAGCCCTGCTGTGTTCAGTACCCGTCATCACAGCCGGCCATTTGGGGCTCCCTTGGTGGGCTGGGTCCGTGAGGCCTCGGTACAGGAATTGGGGTGCAGTGAGCAGTTCTGAGTGTCGCACTGAGGAAGGCGTGAGCTGGAAGGTGGTCCCTGGGGTGCTGGTGGTGGCAGTCTCAGGTGGTGGGGTCTCTGTGCCCTCTGCTTCCTTTCCCCTGTACCCTGCGGGGTTCATGTTCTGGTGAGGACGGCAGAGGGGTGTAACGTTTCTGCGGTGAGGAACCCGGAGCTTCTGTTTGCAGAGAGAAGGGGAGAAGAGGGTGGGAAGGCGCTCCAATGGAAGGCCCGCCGAGGTGGGTGCAGAGGCCGACACTGGGGGCTCAGGAGGCAGGTCAGGCAGCAAGGTGGACAGGGGTGCCCCAAAGGCCTGGAAAGAAGGAGAAGGCTTAGACCCAGCAGAGGGCGGAGGAGGGGCTGGACGGAACAGCTATCAAATGACCCCCTATTTCCTAGACTTTGGGACAGGGTCCCAGGCTGGGGGTGGGAGTAAGGTGTCAGCCAAAATGCAGCCTACAGAGCCAGGAGGTGCAGCGGTGCCCCCAGGCCTCATGCCGGGGGGAGGGGGGTGTGGGCATGGGGCGCTGGCTGGAGTCCAAGGCTCCCTCAGGGGTGGAGGCGCAAGGCTCAGACCTACCCTCCAGCCCAGACCCCATGTGGGCAGTCCTGGGGGAGCCTGCTCTGTGCCCCGTTTTCCCTGGGCCGTGTGGGAGCGCTCAAGGTACGGGGTTCCCAGGCTAAGCTCCTGGAGAAGTTCTGGATCCAGACCCAGCTCTTGGCTGCGGCTGCTTCCCACTGTCCCCGGTGGACGGGGGCGGAGGGACTTCCCTTGGTGGGGTGGGGCCTTGGGGCCTGGCCAGCAGGAAGCTGCGCCCGAGGAGGCCACAGTCACCCCACAGGCATGCCCCTGGAGGGACCTAGCCACCAGCGCCGCCCTCGCGGCCCGCCTAGCCCAGCGGCGCTTCCTTTCCCACCCGAGTCCTCCCTGGCCGGAGCCCCTGCGGTCTGGCGGCCCTGCTGAGCCCCAGCCCCGTGGCCGGCCGGGAAGTCCCTGGCTCCCCTCCTGGGGTCTGAGGACCTTGTCTTCCGCTCCAGTCCCTAAGGTCAGCGCACACCCAGTGTTCACCTCTTCTTCTGGGCCATGTCCAGGAGAGGCCTGGGCGCTGAGGTGTGAGGGCCTGCAGGTCCCCAGGGCCCACGGGCGCCTCATTCACACAGGAGAGGGATGGGGGCTCTGGGCTCCCCGGCAGCCCTACCCGCAGCTCCCCTGGCCTCGTGCCTCTGTGCTGAGTCACCCGTGTCTGGGAAGCCCTCGGATGAGGCATTGCACATTCACAAATCCCCTTGCCCCCCGGCGAGGAACAGCTGCCGTGACTCACCCGGGCTGGGCCTGCACCTCCTGGGGCTCCTGGAGCCCAACCACTCCAAGGGCTCTGCTCTCAGCTCAGTGCCCACCGCAACCCCCAGGCCCTGTTCCCCACCCCGATGGTGCGGCCCAGACCTCCCAGTGGCGCCGGGGGCTGCTCCGTGCAGTGCCTGCATATGTGTGTGTCCTTCCTGTGCTAGCAGTCCCGTAGCCATGGCAACCCAGGGAGGTCTGCTCAGCCCGGGGTGGGGCAGCCCAGGCCTGGCCTTGGCTGCTGGATTGGGCAGGGTGGGGGCACCGCCAGGCTGCTGGGAGGAGAGTGGGCATGGAGAGCTGGGATGGGCAGGCTGCCGGAGGCTGGCTGCACCCCAGGGATGCAGTGCCGGGGAAAATGCTGAGGGCACCAGTGCACCCAGAAAGCCTCCTGCGGTCTCTGCCCCGGCTGCAGATCAATGGCGTCTTCAGCTCGATGCCAGCCCTGGCCAGGGCCGGACCCTGAGGGACTCAGCAGATCACTGCCGCTGCATCCTCAAGATCCTCGCCACCCTCCTCTCCTCTTCATTTCCTTCTGGCTCAGGGTTCCCCTTGCTCACCAGGGACCAGGCCCCTATCTGACAAGTCAGTTCATAGGGCCTAGGGAGAGGCCCTCCTGATGTTGAAGGCCCCACTGTGGAGGAAGGCCATCTTCTCCCAGTGCTGCCTAGGGTGGGCAGGGAGTGCTGGGCCCATGGCGGTATGGCAGGGACTTTGGCTGGGCCCTGCTGACCCTGGTCCTTAATGTACCAACTTGACCTTTTCAAGGAGGTGTGGGCAAAGCAAACTGGCAAGTGGGCTGGTATCTGAGAGGGCTTGGAGCTGCCTCCTTGACCTGGGAGAGTCAGGGTGCTCTGCCTCTGAGAAGGCCCACCTGCAAGGGCAGTTTGTTCCCCATGGGCCCTAGATGTTTATTTGGCACAACACCTGGCACCTGCTTGTCTGATGATGGTTGTGGTGGTGATGATGGTGATGATGGTGGTGATGGTGGAGGTGATGGAGGTGGTGGTGATGGTGGAGGTGATGGAGGTGGTGGTGAGGGTGGTGATGAGGGTGGAGATGGTTGAGGTGGTGGAGATGGTGGAGATGGTGGTGAGGGTGGAGGTGGTGGAGATGGTGGTGAGGGTGGAGGTGGTGGCAATCATGATAATGATGGTGGTAACAGTGGTGGCAGCAGCCATGGTGGTGGTGGAGGTGGTGATGATAGTGGAGGTTGTGGCAATAAGGGTGATGGTGGTAATGGTGGTGGTAGCGATGGTAACGATGATGATGGTGATGATGATAATGATGGTAATAATGATGCTAATGATGGTGGTGATGGTGGTGGCAGTGTTGTTCGTGGCATGGTGATGTGGTGGTGGTAATGGTGGTGGCAGTGATGGTGTTGGTATTGGGGTGTTGGTTGTTGTGATGGGTAGTGGTGGCAACGATAGGGATGGTGATGTTGGGTGTGATGATAGTGGTAATGGTGATGGTGGTGATGATGGGTGTAATGGTGGTGGTGGTCAGTGATATGGCTTAGGTGCCAGTTTTGGAGGATTTATGGTGACAGAGAGGGTGTCAGTGCCAGGGTACCTGAGGCACAAGGGGACCTGGGCCCTGAGAGTGACCGTCAGGGGCCTGTGTGGGCAGCTTTGCCCGCCTTTGACTTCCTGGATATTTTGATCTTTCGAAGACAAAGGCCCCAGGGGAGTTTGGGGCCCACGAGTCACCCGTGAAGGGCTCCTTGGCGGCGGGTGCTCTTCCTGCCCTACCCCTGAGCTGTGCCCTCGGTGCTGCCGCCAGCCTTACCCTTGCCCCGTGTCCACAGCCAGCAGCCGCTTGATGGGGAATTCTCCAGCCTCGTCTTTCATGGGCAGCTTCCTTACCAGCAGCCTGGGCTCGGCCGCCTCTGCGCACCCCAGCGGCCCCACCTCCGCCTCCTCGGAGCAGGCCTACCATGGCCCCCAGCCGGCCCCCTCCCAGATCTGGTTCCCCCACTCACACGAAGGTAAGCCGGGGTGGCCGAGTGACCAGCAGGGCCCCCAGGCCTGCTGGCTGGGCGAGGGGCTCCTACGGTGGCCAGCATGATCCCACCTGCCACACACTGCCCGGCAAGCTCTGGGGTGGGGGCAGCCTCCCTGCCGAGGAACTGCTACCGGGAGGGGGTAACTGGTTGGAAGCAGGGGCAGGCCCCGTCAGGCAGTGTCCTGGCCAGATGTGGCTCCAGATGGGCTGAGAGGGAAAAAAGTAGGGATGGGGGTAGGGCTCCAGGGAGCTGAGGAAATGTGGAGCACAGCTGGAGCGGCTGGGCCAGGCTGCGCCTTCCACCACAGGCTGCACCTCCCTCGCAGACTTGGGGAGACGTGGGTTCCAGATGTGCCAGCTAGGAGGGGCGGGGAGGGAGAGCTGTCAGTGTGCACAGGCTGCCACCCTGGGGGCCTGGCAAGGCCTCCCCGGGGACCCAGCCCTGGCACACAGATGCATGTCCCGTAGATGCACGTCCGTCTCTTGGTGGTCCGGTCTCTCAGGTCAGCCTCTAAGACGGCGGGCTCCGCTGGGCCTGTGGCCTTTCCCAGGGCGGCACCCCCAGCACAGCCTCCTGGAGTGATCTGGGTGGCAGCCCTTAATCCCATCGTCCCTCAGCCTCACGTTGCTGGCATTACCCCCATGGCAGGGGAAGGGTTAAGCTGTCCTGGGCGACTGGCACGCCGAGAGGTAATTGCAGCTGGCAGCGGGCACAGAGGGCTCCCGTTCCTGGCACTCAGCACTGCTGCAACTCAATGGCTGCCAAGTGGCGGGCGCCGTGTTTACAGAGCGGCAGACCCACACACTGTGCCCGCCGCCCGCCCGCGTTCCAGGCAGGGAGATTAGCGCCCGGCGCTGCTGGAGAGCGAGAGAAACTTCTCTTTGTGCAACAAGAAAGGGGCTGTTTTCCAAACAGGACAGGTGACGAGTGAGGGACAGTTGTTAAAATAATCTGGGTTCAGCGCGCGCGGAGCACACATGTTGCACAGGCGATGAGGAGCTGCCCTCCTCCTCATGGAGGGGTCCGGGCGGGGTCCCAGGACCCAGGTGGGAGACCCCCCCCAACTCCCAACCCCCGCTCCAGCATCACCATCACAGGAGCTGCCCCATGCAGAAGGCCAGGGCCAGGACCTGGCCGTGTGGGCCCCTACCTTCCAGACGCTCATCCCCCCATCCCCCCATCCCCCTGCCGCACCCCCCACCCCCCGCCAGCCTGTTGTCCCCCAGGGCAAACTCCTGGGTTTCGGTCATGGCATTTGGCTCCCAAGATATCATGGCAGGGGGAGAGTGGCCGAGCCTGGGGCGCCCTCGGGAGATACCTCAACAGAAAATGGCCGCCTCCCCCCCCGCCCCAGCCCAGCCACAGGTGGTTGGGGGGTGTGAGGGGCTAGGCTGACTTGGTTTCCCCTCCTTGCAGCAGTGGCCCTGTTGGGGCCTGGGAGCAGCCACAGTCCCCCCTCCATGCTCCGCATCCCGAGACCCCCCTCACCACAGGAGGCGTGTTCCCCCTTCCCTTCTGCACCACCCCTGGGGACTCCACCAGCAAGGAGGGCGGTTTGTGGGTAGCGCCACCTGCCCCGGGGCCCAGGAGAAGTGCCCCAGTGTGGCCCTCTGGGGGCTGCCTGGACGGTGGGAGAGGCAACCTGCAGACAGACAGGATCCCCAACAGCCCCCACTTCTCACTTCCCCTTTGCCAACGGCTGCCCTGGGTTAGGGGGGTGCCTACCGCTGCCAGGCCATGCCCCCACCCTGTCCTGGGGGGGGGGGTGCCTGTACTACCGCCTTGCCATCCCCCTCCCCTGCTGTGCCCTCCACCCTTTGCCACGTCCATCTCCCTGCCCAAGCCCAGGGGGTCCACCTGGTGGGTGGGAGGCCAGCAGCCAGGGGGAGGGTCCCCTCCCTAAACCCTGCTCTCTCCTGGCAGGGAGACAGCTCCTTGGATGCAGGGCGGCCTGAGCAGAAGGGGTGGGCCTACAGGGGGTCTGGCTGTGCCGCCCCGAGGGCCAGTGATCATCTGTCCATCCATGCGCCCCGAAAGCCTCTTAGCGCCTCCTCTGCTCTCGACCTCATGGTGCCCAGTCTAGGGGGAGGACAGGGAGTCAGACATAGGTGGGCAGACGCTGACACATGCAGCAGGTCCTGATGTAGGGGCAAGACCAGAGGCCTTTGAGCTCCTGCCCAGCCCACTTTCAGTGAAGATGGCATGGGGGAGGTGTGGCGGGGCAGGTGCCCTGGGTGGTGGCACGAGATACCTGCTCGGACGCCCCTCCACCTGCCATGGCCCCCCGGAGGGTGACGGTGCTGTGTCGGTCACGGTGAGCACACTGCGTGCTCATGGACCGTTGAGGCCTGCGCCTCAGTTTATCCATTACCATCGTCTCTTCCCTGCCTTCAGTCTGGCTGCCCGCCCCGGGACCCCCTTCCTGCTGGGGTTCCCTGGCCCAGTGACCGAGCTGCGTGGTGGCCGAGCCGCGTGGTGGCCGCCGATGATCAGGGAGCTGGGAGCACGAGGCCGGCGGCGGGGGTGGGGCAGGACGAGTGGCAGGCTGGCTGGCAGGCTGCCCTGGCCGCGTGCCCGGCTGCTCGTTTGACGGGGTGCCAGCTGGCTCCCGCGTGCCGGGGCCTGCTCCTCTGCCGTGTGTGTTCGGGGAGGGGCACACGAGCAGCCGACAATGGGGGCCACCAGGCCCAGTGGGCTGCCTGGGCCTGGGCAGCCGCTTCCCCTGGAGGCAGGTGCTCAGCACAGCCAGCTCGCCCCCTGCCGGGCGCAGGGCTGCCCAGGGCCCCTGAACAGGCTCCGTCTCTGGGGCAGGAAGACCAGGACGGGCAGGGAATCTGGCCTTCCAGCCAGCCCGCGGCACCCGTTGCCTCCCATCCATGGACAAGTCCCCATCTGCAGTGCAGCTGCTGGAAGGGCAGGGCTTCCTGCCTCCTGCAAGGGCAGTGGGGAATGCCCTGGAACATCTGGCCTAGGGCAGAGCTCCCCCCAGCTCGCCCAAGATGAGGGAGCCGGCCAGAGGGTGGACTTCCGCCTGTGGAGTTCGGGATGGGGTGGGTGGCGGAAGTGACCCAGTACAGAGGAGAGCTGAGTGGCCGCCAGCCTGTCCTGGGTGGGTCAGGGTGAGGGTGGGGTGCAGCCCAGCTGCTCCTATTGTCAGAGCCCAGGTCCCCTCCCCCCACCCCCACCCCAGCTGCTCAGCCAGACCACCCACAGGGCCAATGAAAGGGGATGCTGTTCTTGGGGCTCAGCTGGGGAGGGGGCTCGAGCTGCTGTGGCTTCACAGCCAGGCTACTTGTGGTCTCTTGTGCCACCTGGAGGGGGAGCCGCGGGTGGCAGCGGGCACATGCCAGCACTGGCCGTCCGCCTGGCCAGTCTCTTTGTCAGAGCCACACCCTCCCCGGAGTCCCTCCTCCATTTGGGGCTGCGTTGGAGGGGGGCAGGGGGTGCCCAGGAGCCGCGACATGCTCCCTGCTGCTCTGAGTCCCCCAGCATCCCACCAGCTGCCCCCCCATCCTGCTCCCTCTGAGGCTCCAGGGCGCTCTGGGAGGTTTGCGAGTGAGCAGGAGCGGGACGTGTCTGTTGGCGGGATGGGGGTCCCACCTGTAATCCACACCTCTGTGTGATCCCCAGGCCCACCTGGCTCCCCCAGCTCCCCCCTCCCCCGTGCCTCCCCCACCTTCACTGTCCCTGTTGTTCCTGCCTCAGCCAGCCTCCCTGCTGGGGCAAATCAGGGAGACCCCTCCTGACTGCTGGACCCCGCCTCTATGCCTGCGCACCTGGCAGAGGGCCCTGGGGATGTTTGATGGGTGAGCGAGCAGTCACCCAGGGACGGTGGAGTAGGGCACAGCCAGTGGGCTGGGGACATCGCGGGTGGCAGGATGGGAAGCCCAATAAGTCTGGGGTTGTGGGGGCCAGGGGCTACCTGCCGGCCCTGGTGTGGATGAAGGGGGCTGTCAGGGATGTCCCGTCAGCATGCGGGTGACCCTAAGTATGCTGGCCACCTCTCCTGGGGCTGCTGGGGCTGCAGGTTCCCAGGGCCAGCCCTGGTCCTGGATAAGGCCAGTGGCGTGGCTATAGCATGTCCGAAGAGGATGCTGCCCAGTGCTCAGGGCAGCACTTGCCTTACCTCTTCCCCCAATGCCACCGTGATTTTCACCCTGATGTGACACCATTTTCCAGGTAGGGAAACTGAGACAGGAAGGTGCCGTGACAGGATTTGAACCCAGTCTGACTCCTCGTACGGCCTCCTCCTCGGCCGCCCCCCGAGCCTCATCAGCCTCCTTCAGTGTGGAGGCCAGGGTGCCTCGCCTCGGTGTGTGCCCTGCTGTGCCCAGGACGCTGGGGGTCAGGCCTGTCCCGTTGAGTGGTTTCAAGTATCGCTGCCTCGCTGGGCCTGATTTTCCCCATCTGTAAACAGCGCTGAGCAGAATGGCCATTCGATCCAGCGGGACACAGGCAAAGCCATATAAGGCAGGCAGAGAGTGCCAGCCCAAGGCCTCCGGGGACCCCCAGGCCTGGATGGGGCGGGCGGGGCAGCTGCTTGTGCAGCAGAGCTTCCTGGCAGCCAGGCTGTGGTCTGGGATGTTGTGGGGATTGAGGGTCACACTCAGGCTGCTCCCGGCTCTAAGCTCCCCAGCTTGAGGCCAGCAGTGGCCCAGGCCTGCCTGCCTCCCAGCCCCTCCTGACTTCCCTCAGAGGGGCCTGCCGCGAGCTCCCACATCAGCTCCATGCGGCCCAAGGCCAGCTTCTCCCTGCGGCATGTGCGCCTGGGACTGTCCAGGGCTGGCCTAGGTCCTGGGCAGGCTGCCCGTGGCTTTTATTGCAGTGGTACCCACAGGATCCTGGCACCTTCCTTGGTCTTTAGCCCATCCTCTTGGCCTGGGAGCAGAGAGAGCCTGCCAGGTTCAGCACCTTGGGGTGGTGGAAGGTCAGCGGGTGGGTGTGGAAAACCTGAACCAGGTAGGCTGGGGTTAGTGGGTGGGCGTGGAGGACTTGAACTAGGGGGGCTGGGGTCAGTGGGTAGGCTGTGGAGGACCTGAGCTGGTGGGTATGGAGGACCTGAGCCGGGTGGGCTGGGGTCAGTGGGTGGGCGTGGAACGCCTGAACCAGGTAGGCTGGAATCAGCAGGTGGGCCATGGAGGACCTGAGCCAGGGCTGGGGTCAGCGGGTGGGTGTGGAGGACCTGAATCAGGTGGAGGCCTGCTTTCACAGTATGCAATGAAACAGGTACACTTAGTCCTAAGCCCCAGTCCCCATCAGGAGGATAGGGCGAGCCCACTGGGGGGACTCCGAGGGCCCAGTTTCCAAAGCCCCAGGCAGCCCAGGAGGAGTGGCCGCCAGAGAAAGGGTCTCATCCTGCTCCTAGGCCAGTCCAGAGCCCAGGGGTGGGTGGTCATTCCTGAGAGCTGCACCCTTTGGAAGCTCAGCCTGTACGCTGAGGGGTCTGACTGCCTGGCTTAAGGGGCTGTGGGCGGAAGCAGGGTGTATGGCAGGGCGCCAGGAGGATTTGGGGAGGGAGCTACTGCACGGTAACTCCCTTCAAGTACTACATCAGGGATGGCAGCACCCAGCACACCTGCTGTCGCTGCCCTTCCTGTGCCGTGGCAGACATTGCGAGTTGGTTGCAGCACCATGGATGCAGCCTCGGAATCCTTTCTTAACCCAGCACCCTGGGTGGTCAGTCTCAGTGAATGGACTTATGCTGAAACCCATTGGCACCTGAGTGAGAGGGGTGTCATGTGGGGAGGGGCCAGCACTGAGTTTGTGTCGGGCCCTGGGCCTGGGTTCCCGGCCTGGCATGCGTTTCAGGTCCCTGGGGCTCAGCTGCCAGTCCTGGCCCCACCATGGGTGGGCAGCGTAGCTGCTGGAGCCTCAAGTTTTCACCTATAAATTGCGGTTTATCATATCTCCGACCTCGTGGGGAGTGAGGTCTGGGGGAGGGAGGTCTCAGGGTTCCCAGGAGGAGGCTGGCATTGGGAGCCCTGGCCCTGGGTCTGGGCATCTGTCAGCCAGCCTCCTGGGTCTCTGGCCCAGCTGCATCTACGGTCCTCCCAGCTCTCTGAGCCTCCCCAGGACCCCCGCCGCCCGTGTTCGCCCATAAGGATGATGGTTCCCCGGCCCCAGCAGCTCCATTTCTGATCTTGAACAGCTGCTTCAATTTGTAAAAATCATTTTTTATTTTTTCCTTCAATTCAGAGAGTACAGTGTTATTGGGAGAAAGAAAAGGGCCTTTTTATCGCTGGACTGGGGAACCTTGCTTCCCCTCTTCCTCTCCCTGCGCCTGCCCGGGCCCCATCCAGCCGTGGCCTTCACCCTCACACCCCCAAGCCTATTCCCGCCCTCCCTACCGCCTCACCTCTGCCCCCTACCTTCTTCCCCTGCACTGTCCCACCCCCGTCCTGCCTCATTCCTCCAGCCCCAGCTCCATCTTCTGGGGGTGTGCCCGGGAGTGGGAGCCTTTGGAGCTTGAGACCCCTGGCAGATTTCCCCGCCCCTGCTCCCTGGCTGGACGGCCACCAGCTGGGACTCAGAAGTGGGGGCCTGCAGGCCCAGGGCCACCCACCCCCATGCTGCCCCAAGAGGACCAGGCAGGAAGGAGCCTACCCCCGGCTGCTGGATGGCTCTCCGCCAGAGGGTGGTGGGTGGGATCCTGCCGTCACAGGGGGTCCGTGCCTGGGAAACAGCGTCTGGGCAGGAGGAATTTACAGACTTCTGTTTACCAAAACGAGGCCCCGTAAAACATGTAACAGCAGCCAATTACAGGGGGACAGCTGGGGTGGTTTAGCCAACCCCCCCCCTCCCGCCTCCTACGCACACAGGCCACACCCCTCCTTTCCCACCTCCCCCTCCGTCAAGTCTTCCAGGAGCTGAGGTTAATCTAGCAGACATCTGCTCCAGATGTGCCTCCACACACTAACCAAGCCAGTGCCCCCCCCTTAGCCTCTGTCCTCCGCATGGCAGGGGTGGGGCTCAGGCGCAGACAGGGCGGGGACAGGGCAGGACCCCGCGGAGCCCGCAGGATGCCCCTGGCGGCTCTGCCGGTGAGTCTTCAGGTGGGCAGCGTTGGGCCACTTCCTTCCACTGCTGACCTGGGACTTGCTTGCATGGAGGTTCTCGTGGACTTGGCGTCCGCGGAGTTCACCTTCAGGGCCAGAGAACGGCGGACGGTGTGAGGGGGCAGAGTGGCGGCCCACCACTGCCAAGGGGCCCGCCGGGAGGGTACAGGGGCCCCATCTGGACTGGGGAAGCCCCACTGGTGTCGAGGCCTTGCTCCTCCAGCCCGGTCCCCTCTTTGACAGCCAGCCGTTTCCCACTCCAGCCTCTGCCCTGAGGCTTCTCAGCTTTATACACCTGAGCTGGGGTCCGGAGACTGCCCCTGGCCCAACCCCTTGATGCTCTCAGTGGGTGCCAGGGCTGTCCCACCCCACGCACCCTTAGAGGCCCATTCCAGGGTAGCATGTCTGGGCCACCCCCGCTGCCCCTTCACCTCAGCAATGTCAGGATCTGGCCTGTAGTCTCAGGCCACCAACCAGGGCCCCAGGCCCCCTGAGGACACGGCCCAGGAATTGGGACCCAGTGTGGGACAGGGACGGGAGGTGCTGGACAGAGGAGGTGCAGGGACTGGTCCTCTGGACGCCCGCGCTGTGTGTAGTTCTGCATCCCTGCCTGCTGGCTGAGTGTGAGATGTTCTCAGAGTGTGTTCCACGGAACCTTCATCCCATACGCTGGAATTCCACTGAAACAATGGAGCGGGGTTCCGTGAGAAAGGAGTTTGGAGAACAGAGTCGAGCGAGGTGGAGGCCCTCTGCTGTGGCACTCACCAATGACATCACTGGGACGCCCTAGGGGGGCCTGGCACCCCAGTCCTGGGCTGGGGGACCCTGGGGATCCCTGCTGCCTGTTACTGGCTGGGGCGGCCTAAAGAGTCAGACAGGAGCCTGCTCCCAGTAGTGGGAGGCACTGGGACGTCACAGGAAGTGGGGGGCAGGAGCTGGAGCAGGCATTGTGGAGTAGCTGGGTATCCATCCAGCTCTCTGGGCCCGCATGCTCACCACCACCCCTCCCCCGCAGCCTGCATTTCCCTTCAGGAGGAGCAGAGGGGCCCCGGGGCTCCTGCTCAGCCTCAGCCCCACAGAGGGGGGGCTCTAGGGCTGCCCCACCCCCCGCACACCCCTAGCCATCCCCACAGCCCCTCGCCCAGGCCAGCCACATTCACAGAAGTTGGATGGTAGCTCCAGGCCACAGGCAAACACCCCACCCAGCTGGTTAGGGTAGACCTGGCCCAGCCCCACCCTGGAGGAGCGCCCTCCCAGCCCCAGTAAACTGCAGCGGTGGCGTCTGGTGAGGAGAAGCCCGACACCCCGGCTTTGGGCGTGAGCCAGGGTGGGAAGGAGGTAGTGGCAGTGAGCGGGGTGGGACTGGCCGGCCACCAGCAGCAGGGCAGTGGACCGAGTGGGCTGTCTGATGAGGGCCATCTGTGGCTGGACCTGCCCATTCTCCAGGCAGAGCTGCCACCCCAGCCCTCCCCGTGGATCCTGGTGGAGATGGACCCTCTTTGAGAAGTCTGCTTTCCAGGTGGCTTTGAGCACCCAGCAGACATGCTCCCCCACTGTGCATCCTGCCTGGGTGGCTGCTCTGTCATCTCTCAGTCCTTTCTGTCCTGTGGGCTGGGCCCTCATCTCCTCTCAAGTGTCTGAGCAGCCCCCGGGGTCCAGGGTCAATGGGAGGGGGGTGTCCCAGGTGTCTGAGCAGCCCTGGGGTCCAAGGCCGCAGGTGGGGCCAGCTCCAGGATGCAGGGCAGGGCCGGCTCCAGGGTGCGGGGCAGGGGCCGGCTCCAGGGTGCTGCAGGGCCAGGCTGGCAGGCCTGAGGATGATCTCGGGGCCAACTCAGGGAACTCTTTTGGGGTTGGAGCTCCTTGTTGGGGACCAGTTCCCTTTTGCAAATCTCCAGGATCGCGGCGGGGGCCTTGGCGGAGGAGCAGCATCTGATGCACGACACACCCGGTCATGCCCTGTGGTCTGCCCAGGGTGTGGGCCCCAGGCTTCGCCAGCACCACACGGCCAGCCCCTGGGGACAGTCTGCTCACCCAGACAGCTGTGCAGGCAGGAGGAGCACTGGCCTGTTTTCCCCCAGCCCTATCCTCCCCTGGGGTCCTCCGTCCAGTCCATCGCACCCCACACTCTCCCCAGGCCCTTTGGTTGCCGCCGTCTTGGAAGCTCCCCAGGATGCTAAGTGCTGCTGGAGGGAAATCAAAGGCGCCCTCCCCCATCCTCCCTCACTCCCAGCCCATCAGCAATTCAATTTGTGCCGCTTGCTCGCTCAGAGGGAGGGTGTTAGTCGAGTCAGAGTTAATACGATGTATGTATCGATGGGTTGATTTCCTGGCTCTCGCAGGCCAGCTCCACTGGGCGTCGCTCCGGGGCCTCCGGCTCTCGCCTCCCTGGGGTCAGGGGTGTGGGCCGGGGGACCAGGAGCTGCCCAACAGCAGTCTCCTTGTTTCTCCAGCTCCAGGGTACCCCAGATTTTCGGGGAGTCTGGCATCCACTTTCCTACCCATGAGCCACTTGGATCACCATGGAAACAGCAATGTCCTCTATGGGCAGCATCGTTTCTATGGAGCCCAAAAAGGCAAGTGACAGCGAGAGCAGGCGAGGGCCAGTGGGGGGCCTGGTGAGGGGCAGGGCATGGCATGTGGCTCAGCGGGGGCCTGGGATATCCTTGTGGGGTGGGGTGGATCTGGGCAGCCACCAGGGACCCTCCCTGCTAGGTCTGGGGCCAGCTGGGCCTGGGGTTGGAGGAGAGGGCGCGCCCACCTCTCAGCCTCTCCTGGAAGACTTTAGCTCTGGGCCCAGGACCAAGGCTGAGAGAAGGCTAAGTGTACAGTGCCGGAGAGGACTCTAGGGCCGCAGCCGCTGTTCCCAGGCCTCCTGCTCAGGGGGAAGCAGCTTAAAATAGCCCAGCCCCAGAGAGGGTGCCCAGCTTCCCCACACTGGCTCCATTCCCCAGCAGCCAGGGTAGCTCAGGAGAAAGATGCTATCAGATAGGGCAAGGCAGGGGCCCAGAGGCCTGCACTTCCTGACTGTTGTCTGCTGGGCCTGGGCCCCACACTGAGGTTAGACAATGCTGATGCCACTTCAGAAGTGGGAAGCAGGGCCATGTCCCAGTGGACAAGGCAGGGTGCAGGGGTCTCCCGGAAGTGTCAGGGGTGACTGGAAGGCGTGTGGGCGGGTAAGGAGGTGGGTGAAGACGAACACAGCTTCTGCAGGAGCCTGGGGAGCCCCATGTTTAAGGCTAGGGCTTGGAGTGGGGGCAGAGGAGGCCCCCAAAGCCCCCAGCAGGGCCTCAGGAGGTAATTAAGCAGTGTCCAAAAGGGTCTCAGGAAAGGAAGGGACTCCAGTTAGCCCATGCCCTCCAGGTGGCTACGGTGACCCTAGCGGGGAGGTTTTGAGGTGCAATGGTGAGGGATCCCATGGTTTGTGTCCCAGCCCTTCTCCCCTGCCATCCCCCATCTCCCCTCTACCCCGGCCTCGGACTTCAGAACCTCGGCATGACCTCCCAGCCCTTCTCCCCTGCCATCCCCCATCTCCCCTCTACCCCTGGCCTCAGACTCCAGAACCTCGGCATGACTTCGGGTCCAGCCTGCACCTTGGGGCCTGGAGTAGCCTGTGTACGGCTGAGGCTCAGAACGGCCTTGGCCTTGCCCAGGATGGGCCAGCTTCAATTGGGGCGGGCAAGGCCTTATCTTGAGCAGGCCCAGAAAGTTCTGCCTGGGGAAGGAGGGCAACCTGGCCACTCTGAGAAAACCGTCTCCTGGCTGGCTCTTGGGGGCAGGCCAGCACCCCTGCAGAGGGTCCTGGGGTTGCGAACCGGTGCTTTGCTGCTCCAGGAGAGCCCCCTGCAGGCTGCAGGCTGGCCCCCAAGTCCCTACATCAGTCTTGGCTGGCCTGTGTGTGCAGCTATTTTGACAGCGTGTGTCAGGGGTGGGCAGGTGGCTGGTCGCAGCCGAGAAACCCAATGCTGGGACCAGCGCGGGGACCCTCCCTCGGGCGGGCGGCAGCGATGGCAGGTGGCGGCCGAGCGCCAGCTCGCCTTTCACAATATTGTGGTGGAGCCTCGTCCAAGAACATTATTTGGTTTTGGAAATTGAGCTAATTAGGTTTGCCCTGCTCCCCCTTCCTACCCCCCGCCCCTTGTTTTCAGTAAGCAGGAAATTGACAAGGAATTTACATGACTGAGGACAGTTTTACAAGTTCCAAATGTTTCTTTTGTCCCCCCCTGTCTGCAGTCCCTCAGCTCTGGGCCATCCAGCCCCACCTCCTGCTGCCTGGGCACCCAGCTGCATGGGGCGGGGGTGGGGGTGTGTGCAGGGAGGCATTCCCCAGGGTCTTCCTGAGGCGGGCCAGCAGTGTCCCCAGGGCTGGTGGGGAGCATGGAGCAGCCCCCTACTCTAGTAGAAAGAGTCTGCCCCAGGCTGAGGACCCCAGTACGGCCACTGCCCAGCAGGTGGATTGGGCAGGAGCGCTGAGCCTTCTACCTGAGCCGTCCACCTGAGCCCTTCTACCTGTGCCCCCCACCTGTGTCCCCAGCTGAGCCCTCCACCTGAACCCCCACCTGTACACTCCACCTGAGCCCCAGAAGCCCTCTACTTGTGCCCCCTACCTGAGCCCTCCACCTGAGCCCCCCACCTGAGCCCCGAGTCTGTGTGTTGTGTGTCTGTGTGAATGTGAATGTGTGAGTGTGTGTGTGTGTGTGTGCGTGTGTGTGGAGGGGAAGGGGCCTGTCACCAGACCTCACCCTCCGGCTCCTGCAGGCACCCATTGCCCACTGTCCCTCCGTCCACAAATCCTTCGAGTCAGGCCTCAACTGCAGGCTTGCAGGCCTCGGGCTAGGCAGGGGGAGACCGAGTGAGCAGAGTCGGGTCACAGCTGTTTGCTGCTGCCAGCCTAAGTGGGCAGAAACTCCGGGATGGTGCCACGTGGGGCAGGGAGTGCGTGAGGCCGAGCCCCGCCAGAAAGAGGGGGACCACCTCTGACCTGGGCTCTCTTGGCACACAGATAACTTCTACCTGCGCAACCTGCCCCCCCAGCCCACACTCCTGCCCGCCAACCACAGCTTCCCCGGTGTGGCCCGAGCTGCCTCCGGCCACCCTGTCGGCTCCTGCAGCCGCGAGCGGGGCGAGGCCGGCCCCCTGCCTAAGGGTTCCAAGGAGTTCGACCGCTTCATCATGGGCAAAGAGCTGGGCAAAGAGAAGGCTGGCAAGGCGGCCGAGGGCAGGGAGCGGCCGACGGCGGAGGAGGGTGGCGGCAAGGAGCGGCACAGGCTGGTGCTGCCCGTGGCAGCCGACAGGCACTGTCCAGACGGCGCTGTGCCCCGGGCAGCCTGTGAGGGCCGTGCCGAGCACCTGGCCGCCTGCCTTCTCAACACCAAGGTGCTCAACGGCGGCGTGGGCAAGGCTGCGCTGGCCAGCTGTGCTGGGGGCGTGCTGGTACGGCCCGGCGCAGGTCCGGCAGCCCCTGGGCGCTGCGCCAAGGAGGCGGCCGGCCCCCCAGAGCCAGGGCCGGCCTTCAGCGAGTGCCTGGAGCGGCGGCAGATGCTACATCACACCGTGTCCTACACAGTGCCCTCCGGCCTGCCTGCTGGGCCGCCCCCACCCCTCAGCACGGCCGCCAGCTCCTTCCCCTGCCTGCAGCTGCACGCCGGCCCTGACGGGCTCTGCCCCCTGCAGGACAAAGCCCCCCGGGACCTGAAGGCCAGCGGGCCCACCTTCGTGCCTTCCGTGGGACACCTGGCTGACAAGAGCCGCCCTTTTCAGGCTGCTGAGGCCTGTGCCGTGGCGGGTGAGGGCAAGGACCGGCACCTGGAGGGGGCCACCGACCACTCGACGCCCTACGGTGTCACCTATGCCCATGTGAAGGCCGAGGGCAAGGGCGAGCGGCGGCCGGGGGGCTTTGAGGCAGCCCTCAACCCCATGCTCAAGGGCCTGGAGTACCTCAACAGTGCGGGCCCCGAGGCCCCTTTCCCCAGCCTCCCTAGAGGTGGCCTGGACAAAGGCGGCTACTTTGAGCTGCCCACCCCCGTGCAGGAGTGCGCCCACCCAAGTCATCAAGACCCGCTGGGTGGGAAGATAGGCCAGGCCTGCTGCACTTTAGATAAAGCTGCCGGCAAGGAGGCTCCCTCGGGTGCCCCTGGGGCCCAGAAGGTGGCCCGCATCCGGCACCAGCAGCACTTGGTGGCCCCTGAGGGAGACCCGGGGGGTAGCGGGGCCGAGGGCAAGCGCAAATCCCTGGAGCTGGCGGCCCTAGGCTATAGCGGGCCCCACCTGCCACCATGGAGCATGCAGGCTGGCCAGGGCACCACCATGGCCGTCGGTGAGGAACGCAAGGGTGGCGCCTATCTGGACCCCTTCAGTGGCAGCCTGCAGCCGGCGGCCCTCCTGTCCCAGGAGCTGCCTGCCCCGCCGGACGAAGTCTCAGCCATGAAGAACCTGCTCAAGTACAGCAGCCAGGCCCTGGTGGTAGGCCAGAAGGCGCCCTTTGTGGGCCTGGGTGGCCTCAAGACCAGCTGCGTCCAGCAGGAAGCCAAGTTCCCAGCTCCTAAGGGGCTGGGCCAGGCCCCAGGCGAGGTGGATAGGCCCGATTGTGCTCGCATCCGTGAGCATGACACTCCACACGGCGACGGGGAGGTGCGGCAGCCGCCCGTGGGCATTGCCGTGGCCCTGGCCCGGCAGAAGGACACCGTGAGCCGGCCTGAGAACGCCTACAGCGCCAGTGCTGGGCGGCAGGGCAGGGCAGCCCCTACCTTCAAAGGTGAGTGAGGTCCCGCCACGGGGAGGACGGGCAGTGGGTGGTGCCCCGGGCTCCAGGCAGCCACACTTGCCCTTGTCCATCCCCCGACCTGGTGAGCTCGCCTGCCCTTGCCCCCCTCCCTCCGGTCCTCCAGGGCCAGGAGACCTGCCCCTTTGTTTTGTCAGCCCCCTGGGCTCACAACAAGGTCACCACTTGCTCCAGCCTCTGGGCCCAGGTGCCCCAGTTCTCATCTCCTCTGCCCCAACTGCAGCCGGTGGTGTCCCCCGCTCCATGCATGTCCTGGACCTGGAGGCTGAGGAGGAGCGGACGCGCCTGTGTGAGGACCGCCTGGGGCTGGCCGGCCGAGAGCTGCTGCTTCCGTAAGAGCTGGGCCACCGTGGCTGTGGGGGGATGCTGGGCCTGGCCCTCAGCTCTGCTGCTTGACCCGGGGGGCTCAGGCTGGGTCGGAGTCTGGGCCGCAGAGCAGGCTGTGGGGAGAACTGCCCCCGAGGCCCTTTCCTGTGGGTTCTGCCCCCCGTTGCGGCGGGGAGCTCTGCTGGGGACGCTCCTGGGTTGATGGCACATGCAGGGTGGTGCAGGTGTGGGCACTGGCTGAGTCTTGCTGTCATAGGGAGAGTAAGGAGCTGGTGGAGTTTGCCCGGACGCACCCATCGGGCGGCTGCCCCGGAGACCTGGGCCCCCACCTCATGATCGCCGGCGGCCCCTCCCTGCAGAACAGCCAACTGGGTGGGGACCCGGCCCCCCACCCTCACCCTGCGCACCCGCCCTGGCTGCCCCGCACCCGCAGCCCCTCCCTGTGGATGGGGGGACATTCCTACGGTCAGTGCTCAGCAGATGGGCGGATGCGGGCACGGGCGGGGCCTCAGCAGTCAGGGCCGGCCACCCCGGCCTCCATCCTACCAGGGAAGCCCCTGACCGTGTGCCATCTGTCTCCCCAGGCCTCGGGCACCCTGCCCTGCACCAGAATCTGCCCCCTGGCTTCCCTGCCTCGGTGCCCGGCCCCATGCCCCCTGTCTTCCCCCTGTCCCAGGACGCCCCCGCCCAGCTCGTCATCCTGCCGTCAGAGCCTGCACCCCACACCGCCCCCCATGCACTTGGTAAGGGGCCTCGTGGGCTGGGCAGATTTGCACAGGGGTATGTGACGAGCCAGTCTGTGGAGGGGGGCTCTGCTCTCTGTGTGGAGAGGAAAGGGGTGAGGCCAATGCCTGGTGGGGCCAAGGAGGGCAGCATGGGGCGGTGAGGGGGTGAGGACGTGGGGAGAGGCCGTCTCCTTGCCCAGGAGGGGCTGGGGTGTCTGGGGAAGCAGCCCCAGTGCCAGCCACGCGGGCTGACCGCTCCTCTGCCCGGCCACAGCTGACGTCATGGACCAGGCCTCGCTGTGGCCCCCCATGTATGGGGGCCGGGGCCCCGCCTCCCACATGCAGCACCCTGGCCAGCTCCCCGTGTACTCACGCTCTCAGTTCCTGCGGCAGCAAGAGCTGTACGCCCTGCAACAGCAGCAGCAACATCAGCAGCAGCAGCAGCAGCAGCAGCAACATCAGCAGCAGCAACATCAGCAGCAGCAACATCACCATCAGCAGCAGCAGCAGCGGGCTGCCCAGGCCCTGGAGTTGCAGCGGCAGGCCCAGTTCCAGGTACTGGCCTGGGACCCAGGCTGGGCACTGCCCCCTGCTCTGCGCCCACCTGGCCTGGCCCTCGGGAGATGTCCACTGGGTGGGAGGGCCGGTGCAGGGGGGCCGAGCCGTCTCACTTCTCCCCACCTACAGCGGAAGCCAGAGGACCACCACCTGGAGCTGGAGGAGCCCAGCCCGGAGAAGGCCCTGAAGTCCACCCACAAGCCAGTTGCCTTAACCCCCACCGCCAAGGGCACCTCCCCACCTGCTACTGCGGGCCCCAAGCTCTCTCTCTGCTGCAACTCCCCCACCCCACAGCCCCCCGCTGCCTGCCCCACCCCACCGCCCCCACCACAGCCCGGCGCCCCATGCACTTTATCCATCTGCCCTTCCATCGGCACCCCCACCAGCAGCCCTGGGCCCGGCTCTATGGTGTCAGGAGCCGAGGACAAGAGCGCGGAGGGCCAGCGGCCCCCGGAAGAACTCAAGGCCCTGGAACCAGGTGAGCCTCAGGCGGGGCTAGGCGGCCTGCACAGGCCCCGCTCTAGGCTCCGCTCTGCTCCACTCCTCCCAAGCCCTCCCTAGGGCTGAGCTGAATTCAGGAGGGGGCCGCCGGTCCCTGCCCCCAGGCCCTGTCAGGGTGCAGACCAAGGTCGTCCCCCTCTCCTCCTCCTCTTCCCTCTCCGCATCCTCCCAGGCGATCCGTGGGGAAGACATGGCCTGGCCGGCTCCTTCCCAGCCGTGGGCAGACTGGGGAGGACAAAGGTCGGATCCAGCCAGCCAACACAGGGGGTCCCAGCACAGGACCTGTCCCCAGTGGAGAGACTGGGTGGAGAAGCGTAGGGATGAGGAGCCCCCAGGGGGCTGCACGAGGTGGAGGGTCCTGGGCCCGCCTCCCCAGGCAGGCCTGCCCGCCCGCCTGCCCGCCGGCCGCTGCGCCTGCCAGCTCCCCGACAGGCTATTTAATTCTCTCTGAATTAGGCTGAGTGTTTACACTGGAAATCCGTGTGGCGAACATAAAACCAGCCCTAGTTTCACAATAAGGGGACTGAGCCAACAGAAACTTTTTTTTTTTTTTTTTTTCAGTTTTTTTAGTTTTTTTTATTGCAGTTAATGGGGCGTAAGGCCTCTGACACGCTGCCGGCTCGTTCTGGTTCAGGGGAAACCCTGATTCCAGCATCCTGTCTTTAAAAGGGCCCCCCTTTTCTGGTTAGCCACACAGTGCCCAGGGACTCAGCGGATGCCCCATGGGAGAGGGGTCCAGGGCTGGCTGGGGGCTGGGGGCCCTGGCTGGGGCATCCTCCCCTGCCCAGATTCTCAGCCCTGCCAGCCCCCTCAACATAACATGCCCCCCATTGCTACCACACAGGTGGGATGCTGGGACCCCCCCTGAGGGGTGTGAGACCCCTCCCCCTTCCAAGAGCAAAGGGTCTCCTCCTGCCGCCCGATGATTCCCTGACACCACCCCCTCTTTTTCAGCCCTGCACCCCGGATACCCGTGCCCCCCGGCCTGTGTGGGCTTCTCCTCCCGCCCTGCCCACATGCATTCTTCTGACCTCGTGGACCCCGAAACTATGCAAACCGCCACCCCCGGGGTGCAGCCCGAGCCGTTGAGGACATTCCCGCCCGGGGAGCTGTCCCCCTGTGCCCCAGTGAGCCTGGAGGAGCCTGGGCTGCTCCCGGGGGCCAGGGAGACCCAGGACCTCGCTGCCACCCCCCACCCCGCCGAGCGGGGACCCGCGGGCAAGGCAGCGGATCCCAGCCCACTCGAGGGGCTACAAGAACTGCGATGCGGGGCCCTGGTCGAGGGAGGGGGCTCTGAGGCCACTGGCCAGGGTCATTCTACTCAGGGAGGGGCGCCAGAGGAGAGGACCGCGGAGGGGGGCAGAGAAGAGAGGGCGCAAGGGCCCTCGACGGGGGCCGCCCCCCAGGCCCTGGAGCAGCAGGCGTGGAGCCCAGGCACCCAGGGTGAGGATGAGGAGGGCGAGCTGGAGGAGGAGGAAGAGGACACGGGGGCATGCTGGGGTGCTGGCCTGGAAGGTGGCTGCCTGCCCAGGGCACTACCCAGCCTGGACGCCCTCGTGGCTGCCACGATCGACCTGGGGGACTTGCCTGGACTCAGCCCGCTGTACCCTCAGCCCCCAGCTGCCCCGGGGCCCCCCAGCTCCAGCCCCCTGCCCCGAAGCTCAGGGATTCACGGGATTGCGCTGCTCAGTGAGCTAGCCGACCTGGAGACCCAGCGGCAGAGGAGCGAGCACATTCTGGGAGGTAAGCATCCGTTCATCCATCCGTCTGTCCCTGCCTCCCTGACCACTGCCCTGAAGCCCCTGAGGCCCTGGAGCTGGACCTGGGGCACAGACTCAGGGCCAGACAGTGGCCTTTCGCCCAGCTCAGTTGTCCCCGCGGTGTGCCACGGCAGGCTGTAGTGCCCTTCCTGTCTGATGGCTGGGGCGGCTGGCTGCGGCCTCTCGGTGGGTGATCAGCTGCAGGTATGCCTGGCAGGGATCCAGGGCCAGGGAGGGGCTGGGACGGCACCTTGATGGTGGTCTCGGGAAGGGCAGCACCTGAGCATGCACACCGTCCCCAAGGGGGGCTCAGCAGTGTCCCCAGCACTGTCCCTAACTCAAATGTGGAATTGAGGCCCACTTAGGTGAGGTAAAGGGGGAGGAGAGGAGAGGCCACATCCCCTCCCAGGCCTGTTCATGCCGCAGGCACTGGGCTCCTGGTGGGCCCTCGCCTCCTGGGCAGGGGAGGTGCCACGAGGCTTTGATCTGATGGGCACACAGGCCTCAGGCCCCCCAAGCTCCCAACACTGCCTTCCCAGGGCTGGGGGCTGGGGCGGCAGCGACCTCCCCTCCAGGGCCAACCTGTGGGACCAGGTGTTCCTGGGTTTTCTCCCTCCCTTCTCACCCCACCCCCACCCCAAGGACCTAGGGTGGGCCAGGGCAGCGAGCCTGGCTGGTGCCAGTCGGGAGAGAGCTGGGGCCAGGACGCCCAGGATGTTCACCTCCGCCCTGGGGGGCTCCACGTCGCAGCCCCTGCCTATGGCCCAGCACCTTCCACTAGCAGAAGGCCCGCCCTCCTTTCGTTGCCTGGCCCTGGGAGGGCAGGGTGGGGAGTGCCTGGCCAGGCTTTGGTGGGTTGGTATTTATAGAAAGGGCCTACCGGGGTCTTCACCATCCGTTTTCCCCATACATAAAGCTCTCTGCCGCTGCCAGCCTCCTCCCGCGCCTTTTGTGCTCCATGGAGATAAAGTGACTATTCTTGTAAGGTTAATTTCCCTGAAGGCCACGTGTCATTCGTCGGCCGGGTCTGCGGAGCTGCCTGTCTGC